TTTTCTGACTGAGCTATTAAAGGGGTGGAAATCTACTATAACTATAATCTTTTTTCCCCTATTCTATTTTTCAACCTCCCACATGCTTGGTGTTCAGTTCTGCTTACTGAGTGTCTTGAATCTGCAGCGGCACCTACACGCACTGCCTCCACAGTGGCTGATGGTTTGCAGATAACTCATGATTCAGACCTGTAAGAAACATCTGTAACTGCAGGGTATGACATGTGCTCTAGATTAATCATGGAAAAGGGCAGAGTAATGAAGAATCAGAATGCTTTTTTTCCCCCCCGAATATTAATGTTGCTTTGAGATTATATGAGTGGAATATTTGCTATAGTGGTTTATATCACCTTCTATCACTTGGGGAAGTATCTCAGGTCATTTTTATAAGAAACTCTTACAGATCTTTTAAGCATATACACAGCATATACACCTTAGTGTGACTAGGTCAGAGGAAATAAAGCAAGATAGTAGATATGTGTCATGCGATGCAGTAAGCAAATTAATGTTAAACTGCTTGTATTTTTTCTTGAAAATCTTGATATGATTTTAAAAATTGCCTTTCATTGGTTTCTCTTTTGCTTTCTAGAAGTTTCAACCATTTGAAGGGCAAATGGCTACCATTTTGTTAAACTTTGGAGGCTGTTTATTAATGTACTGTATACAGCATCATACAGATGAAGTCTCCAGACAACCTGAAATAATTAAGCTGCATAGCTCAGTCTCTGAGCTTACTTTTTCCTCAGACAATATGCAGTACTCTCAAATTCATATTTGAAATACAAGCTGCTGAAGAGGAATGGTTAACAGTCAGTTCAGTTAAGTTCAGTTGCTCAGGCATGTCCGACTCTTCGCGACCCCATGGACTGCACCACGCCAGGCTTCCATGTCCATCACTAACTCCCGGAGCTTGCTCAAACTCATTGAGTCAGTGATACCATCCAACCAGCTCATCCTCTGGTGTCCCCTACTCCTTCTGCCTTCAATCTTTCCCAGCATTAGGGTCTTTTCAAATGAATCAGTTTTTCGCATCAGGTAGCCAAAGTATTGGCATTTCAGCTTTAGCATTAGTCCTTCCAATGAATATTCAGGACTGATTTCCTTTAGGATGGACTGGTTGGATCTCCTTGCAGTCCAAGGGACTCTCATGAGTCTTCTCCAACACCACAGTTCAAAAACATCAGTTCTTTGGTGCTCAGCTTTCTTTATGGTCCAACTCTCACATTCATGCGTGGTTATTGGAAAAACCATAGCTTTGACCAGACAGACCTTTGTTGGCAAAGTAATGTGTCTGCTTTTTAATGTGCTGTCTAGATTGGCCATAGCTTTCCTTCCAAGGAGCAAGCATCTTTTAACTTCATGGCTGCAGTCACCATCTACAGTGATTTTGGAGCCCAAAAAAATAAAGTCTGCCCCTGTTTCCATTGTTTCCCCATCTATTGGCCATGAAGTGATGGGATCAGATGCTGTGATCTTTATTCTTTGAATGCTGAGTTTTAAGCCAGCTTTTTCACTCTCTTCTTTCACTTTCATCAAGAGGCTCTTTAGTTCCTCTTCGCTTTCTGCCATAATGGTGGTGTCATCTGCATCTCTGAGGTTATTGATATTTCTTCTGGCAATCTTGATTCCAGCTTGTGAGTCAGCCAGTCTAGCATTTTGCATAATGTACTCTGCATATAAGTTAAATAAGCAGGGTGACAATATACAGCCTTGACATACTCCTTTCCCAATTTGGAACCCGTCCTTTGTTCCATGTCTGGGTCTAACTGTTGCTTCTTGACCTGCATACAGATTTCTCAGGAGGCAGGTAAGGTGGTCTGGTATTCCCATCTCTTGAAGAATTTTCCACAGTTTGTTGTGATCCACCAAGTAAAGGCTTTGGTGTAGTCAATAAAGCAGAAGTAGATGTTTTTTGGAACTCTCTTGCTTTTTCTGTGATCCAACGGATGTTGGCAATTTGATCTCTGGTTCTTCTGCCTTTTCTAAATCCAGCTTGAACATCTGGAATTTCTTAGTTCATGTATTGTTGAAACCTTGGTTGGAGAATTTTGAGCATTACTTTGCCAGTGTGTGAGATGAGTGCAATTGTGTGGTAGTTTGAACATTTTTTGGCATTGCCTTTCTTTGGGATTGGAATGAAAACTGACATTTTCCAGTCCTGTGGCCATTGCTGAGTTTTCCAAATTTGCTGGCATATTGAGTACAACACTTTCACAGCATCATCTTTTAGGATTTGAAATAGCTCAGCTGAAATTCCATCACCTCCACTAGCTTTGTTTGTAGTGATGCTTCCTAAGGCCCACTTGACTTCGGACTCCAGGATGTCTGGCCCTTGGTGAGTGATCACACATCATGGTTATCTGGGTCATGAAGATCTTTTTTGTATAGTTCTTCTGTGTATTCTTGCCACCTCCTCTTAATATCTTCTGCGTTAGTTAGATCCATGCCATTTCTATCCTTAATTGTGCCCATCTTTGCATGAAATGTCCCCTTGGTATCTCTGATTTTCTTGAAGAGATCTCTAGTCTTTCCCATTTTATCGTTTTCTTCTTTTTCTTTACAGTGATCACTGAGGAAGGCTTTCTAATCTCTCCTTGGTATTCTTGGGAACTCTGCATTCAGATGGGTGTATCTTTCCTTTTCCCCTTTGCCTTTTGCTTCTCTTCTTTTCTCAGCTATTTGTAAGGCCTCCTCAGACAACCAGTTTGCCTTTTTGCATTTTTTTCTTGGAAATGGTCTTGATCTTTGTCTCCTGTACAATGTCACGAACCTCTGTCCATAGTTCTTCATGTACTCTATCACATCTAATCCATTGACTCTAACACCCACTGCCTTTCAATTGCCTATTCGCATTTCCTTGGTGACTAGGGAGCTGTGGTTGAAAAGAACTGATTCTAAAATACTGGAGGGTTCTCTTTACTCCTTAGGTCCCCTGGTGGCTCAGATGGTAAAGAGTCTGCCTGGATGCAAGAGACCCCGAGTTAGATCCCTCAGTCAGGAAAGTCCCCTGAAGAAGGGATTGGAACCCACTCCAGTATTCTTGGCCTGGAGAATCCCTTGGACAGGGAAGCCTGGCAGGCTGTAGTCCATGGAGTCGCAAAGAATTGGACATGACTGAGTGACTAACATACACACACACACACACACACACACACACACACACATACACAAGCTGGTTTAGCCTAATACCTGGCAGTGGGGGGGGGGGGGTGGGTTGGGAAGTACCTAATTACTGTGTCAGCTACTGTGCTTCAATTTTATCCTCACAACACATCTCTGAGGTTAGTACTATTATCCCCATTTTAGAGAAGGTGAGACTAAGTCCTGCAATGTTAGGTGACTTGTTCAAGATCATACAACTAGAATGTGACAAAGCTGACCTTCGAACCTGTATCATCCTGACCCAAGGTTTCATGCCTTTCCCACATGAGGAACACTGCTTCCTATTTTGCATATAAATGAAATACATTTGTATGTCTTCCTTCAGAATGCTCATTGGATGATTTAGATATCAAGGAATAAGATTTTTCACTTCAGTTATTTCTTTGAGAACCATTTGAGACTTTCTGCTTTGTAATTCAACTTAAGCAGACATTTCCTTGACTGAGCAAGGTAAAGCACAGTTTTCTTAGTATCATCATTGAGTTTTGGGGACTAATAATTTTGTGCAGCAGCATTATTACGGAAAGCAATATTGTGCTTAATGAATGGTGTTTACTTAAGTCATAAAAGAGAATTCAAACGTGGATTATTTTTTTAACAATGTAGTTGTTATATACTGAGTGATATTTCTTGTTTACTTCTTATAGGAAATAGCATATAATTTGAAATACATATAAAAGTTTTTATATTCATACATATATTTTTATTTCACTGAGCAGATTAGCAAAAGTCATATTATTAAAGTAAAAAGTTGCTTGACAGCCAATTCTTTGTGATAAAAATTTTACCACATCTTTAGTAGCAGTGTTACTTACCGCTCTTAATGCTTTTGTTGTTTAAAGAAAGATTGTAGAAACTTTGCGGTTCACAAGCATGTAGCTTTACGCTATTTTTTCCGTCTTCCTTTGGGGGTGGGATATTGACAATAGTGAGGAAGTGGCCAAGTGTCTCAAGAAATTGTATCCTAAAGATTTTTAACACTAGAGAGTTGATATTTGAGTATGAGTGTGTGTTCTTTTAAATATGGATTCATTGGAGGCACTGGTATCTGATGAATTGATAGATGGATTAACATGAGCGTTCCAGAATCAGAGAATTCTTGAACTGGCAAGGGCCATACAAATGAAGGACTCTTGTAGTGGCATTCTTAGTTAGGACATGAGTTCAGTGACTATCCAAGTCCAGATAGAACTGTAGCCCAAGGTAGTGCTGAAGTTACTGAGTCAGGGTCAGAGCCATTCCATCCAGAAAATGAGACATCGCAGTAGGAGGGGACTTTAAACTTCCTGGGGTAGGAGAAGAAACGGTCATTTGGAAGTAATCTTAGTACATGAAGAAAACAGAAATTAGAAAACTAAAGCATCTTTCTTTGCTCTTATGAATGTGAATGGTGTAAAAATATTGATTACCAAATACAAATCTCATGTTACATATTAAAAAAAAAATGGGAACAAGGACTTCCCTGGTTGCTCAGTGCTTGGGCAGTCCAGCTTCTGGTGCAGGTGGCGTGGATTTGATCCCGGGTTGGGGAACTAAGATGCCACATGCTATAGGCCACCTGAGCTCATGTGCCACAACGGGGGGCAAGCCTATATACCTCAATGAAAGATCCTACATGTCACAGCTGAGATTTGATGCAGCCAAAAATAGATAAATAAATATGAAAAAAGGGAAGATACCATAAAACAAATTAAAAAAGAATAAACCTATTTAAAAATGTGTCTGTAAATGATTTTATGTGCTTTATGAATATAATATTTGAACATATTTATTTTAAAACAGTTATACATATATATATGTATGTTTGAATTTCTTTTTTTTTTTTTCTTAATATCTAGGATCTGTGAAGGTTTGAAAGGGCCAATGAGTATTCTCATCATTGAGGCATTCTATGGTGGGTCCCATAAACAGCTGGTGGATCTGCTTCAAGAAGAGTTAGAAGACTCTGTCCTTCATACCCTGCCTGCAAAGAAATGGCACTGGAAAGCAAGGACATCAGCTTTGTACTTCTCTCAGAATATTCCCACCAGTGAGCATTACAGGTAATGAAAGCCCAGGCTGCGTCTCCAGCCTGTTTCAAACGCACCTGTTCTAAGGAGCCTGCGACTCTGTTGGCCTCTGTGAGATTTCCTCCAACCATGTAATTGGTCAGTATGACTACAGTAGCTATTCCTGTAGAGACGGCAGAGCAGCCCTGACATTCTGAGGACACCTGGCTGGTAGGAATGTGGCCTCGTTTAGACCCTGCATGCCTCTTCTCATTTGTCTTGTCCTTTTACCACATGCACGTGTGGGTGTATGATGACATTTTTTTGGCCTGAGATGAGAGTTGATCTTGTGCATACTTTTTTTTTTTTAACTTCCATAACCTCTCATGCCTCTTTGAGTGAGTATGCTGTTTTAGGGTGTCTGCTCTGTACTAGGAGCTAAGGTTGGAAAGATGGATATGACCAAGATGAATATGACTCTTAGAGGCTTTTAAAGACTATTCAGTTAGAGATGGATATGCAAGTACCATGAGAGTATGAAAAGGGGAGAAGTTAATTTCGACTGTGACAAATTGGAGGTCGCTTTATAGAGTTGGTCAGCTTTGCTTACTCTGGAAGGATGAATAGATTTGGGGACACAGACTGGGAACACAGATCTCAGTTTTGAATTTTGCATCGTTAGGCAGTGGGAACTAGGGGGACCTATTAGAAAGTCTTATGAGACAAACCAAAAAGCTGAATGGGAGCTACTGATTCCATTTCAAGGAAACAAGTAGAATGAATTCCCCCTGGAACATCCCTACTGCCATGTGTCTCCTGATGGTTAAGTAGTGGATGATTATCCTACTGTGGTTTACATATCCGATGTTCTTACCACTCTGGACCCTTCTGTGTAGGGCTCCATTGATGTCGGCAGGAGTGAGGAGTGCCAGACTGATAATGAATGGAGTTTGAGACAGGTTGTTAGAGTGAGGGCACATTGCAAGCTGCAGTGCCCACCTTGGCTTCAGCAGCCATATCCATCTGCTGCTGCTTGAAGGGTGGAGCAGTGACAAGGGAGAGAGCAGCTTGAGATTTAAATGTAGGTTGCTGTTCTTAGTAGTAATTTGGGGGATTTAGAAAATAGCCCATTTGGTGTATGAAAACCATGCATCACCTCTGAAAATTCAGATTGTCAGATGAAACAGCAGTGAACACTCAAGTCATGTTGCTTGGAATTTAAAGGTAAAAACTGGGGACATGTTGAGAATTTTGTATTTTTCTAATCTAAAGTGTATTTTTCCTTACATAATTTAATGTTTTATATTCTGATGTCACCAAGTGAGTATTGTAGATTCACTAGTAGTATTAGAAATTTCAATGCATGTATCCATAAAAAATCTTAAGGGCAATGACAAGCCTATTGCTGTGTTAAGATCTGACTGTTGATAGTTGCTTTCACATCTCATTTAATTGTGTTTTCGCAGTACCATTTGCATTATATTACTTAAGGTCAAGTGATCCTGTTGGTTTTATGGCACATTTTCATTTAACATTACCATTTGATATAATACATTCATACGTACCAAATGATATGATACATTTGTACAGTGATTTGAACATTGAAATGAACCATTTTTCTATCTGCTGTTAGATTTCATTTTGATTACACAGTATTTCTGAATGGAATTACTGTATCACAAATATATGTGTGTGGATAACATGCAGACAAACACTTCTGTGAGCATGGCTTCCCCACTCTGAAGTCTGAAACATTTGAAGATGAACATCATATTGGTTTTTGAAGCAGTCTTATTTGGGAGGTAGGTTTTTGGAATATGATAATGTGGAGTTTTACTTTCTGATAGCCATAAACTCTAGGTCCTATCAGTGCTGTCTGTGGTCTTTCAAGCTCAGCCATTTAAGCTGAAGTTAATGGTACTTATTAACCTAATCAAACTTCAGTAAAAGATATATCTCACTAGTCTAACTTACAGTTATATTTGACTAGGGTTAACTTACCTACTCTTTACCAAATAACCTTTTTGAACACTTTTAGAAAAATAGCAGCAGCTTGCAAACTTACACTAAGTTAAAAAAATATGCTCACTCAACCCTAGATTGAAGTGCAAGAATGACATTTTGTTATACCAGTTAAATCTGATCTCTCTAGAGACTTTTAAAGATATGAAATCTTCTTGATTTCTGTTTGTTTACTCTGTACATTTGTCAAATGAAATCACCAAAATTCATAAAGATAAAATGAGTAAGCACCAATATTGCATACTAGGCAAAAACTACTCTTAACTAGTAGGAATGTATCTGATGAGAAAGACCTGGAATATAGGTACACAGGTTATTTTTTTTTAACATCTCTACATGTAGTCATTGTTTTTATAAGCTTGTTATCTGGGTAATATTTTATTAGTAAAAGAATAAATTTGCCAGCCTAATTAATCAGTTCGATTCTGCTTTATCTTGATGACAAAAGGAATACATCATGATTCACATTTAGACCTGTTTAATTTTATTACAGAGTACAAAAGCTCTGCGGTTTATTTTTCTCAAGAGTAGTTTGTTAATTATTAGGTTATATTAAAGCTTTGCCGTCTGGAAACTTCACAGAATGCAGAAAAATGTTTCTGAGGATGGGCCTCAATTTCATGTTCTGAAATGTGTGAGTCATTTGTCCCAGGATCAAGCATTTCTACTTTCTTAAAATATACCTAGAGTAGGCATCGAAGATATTTCATTCTTTTTTCCTTCTGCAGCATCTTTACTAAACTGAAAGAATCACTCTTAAAGTCATATTTTGTTCACTCTGTGGTGCTTACCATTATATTTTAATTCATCTGAGGTATTGTAGCAGATACTGATCATTGCCCACTTAACTCCCCTTCTTCCTTGTTGACAGAATCAGTTTTCTTTGGGGTGGCTAAGTACCCAGCACTTGGGAGTGAAGCTTGACAGACCTAAGTCAGTCATGATGATCCTGTTCTCTAGCAGATTGTCCAGGCTTTCCTTTAAGTTAGTGCTGGATTCTGGCAAATTTTGACTTAAGTAGTTGACTTCTGGGGTTTCTTCCAACTAAGTTTTTTTTTTTCTCGTTTTATGTTTTTACTTATAAAAAGAGAGAGCCATCTCCCCTTCTCTGTGTTTGACTGCAGTTATGACCTCTACAGCTGGGCGGTGACAACTGGAGGACGAAACACCAGGCCTGTCAGCGAAGTCTGAGGAAGGGCCGCGACGCTATAGCTCCTTAGTCCTCCGAAAACCCTCTTCGTCTGAAACATGTAGACATATTTTGTAAAATGAAATACATTTCCTTTTAAGTTCATAGCAAGCACAGTGAGAGGGGATCTGCAGAGGGTTGTGGAAATTAGAGCGATCACCTGGCTTTGAAGCTGTGGTTGCTTAGTTTTCATAAAGGGGACAAGTTAACTGAGTTGTTATTTGTTACATTCTTGAAATGAAATATTGGGCAGAGTTAACCTGAATTAGGAAGCTTTCCATGTCCTCTTATCGGAACCTGTCCAAGACAAGTGACCAAAAGTAAGGTGACAGACAATGTTATTAGATGCTATCTTTGGTACCGAGAAAGGAGGTTCTAAGAACAGAACAGTGGAAGAGTGCCCTGGCAGTGAATGAAGATCGTTGCCCGGGATCAGTGTAGCAGGGGCTGCCGGTGCCCCACCCACACCCGTCCCTCCTTTCTCCTGCTGTGTGTGTGCCCTCGTCAGCTTCCTGCCGCCAGTCTCTTCAGCCCTTTGCCTGGAGAGGCAGCTGTGGGCAGCATGCCACAAGCAGCCCTCCATCGCCCCTCAGATGAAATCATTCTGAAGTGTGAACACGAGAGAAATCATTAACAAAGATTCCTCCAAAACCCTGTAAGTTTGGAAATAAAAGCATAATTCTAAATAATTCGTGGGTCACAGAAGAAATTATCATGGATACTGAAAAACAGAACTGAGTCATAGTGAACATACTGCCTGTCACAATGTGGGTTGCTTCTAAAGTGACAAAGCCACATCATCTTTACTAGATTTATTATTATTATTTTTAAAATTATGACATTCAGGACTTTCTAAAGCTTATGGCCGAGGGAGAGTAGGGCCCCTCTTACTTGAATCTAGGCATAGTACTGGGAAGGAAAAATAAAAAGAGCAAAAAATAGTGAAGTTGAAATCACACACACACATATGGGCTTCCCTTGTGGCTCAGTGGTAAATAATTTGCCTGCCAAGCAGGAGATGTGGGTTTGACCTCTGGGTTGGGAAGATCCTCTGTATAAGGAAATGGCAACCCACTCCAGTGTTCTTGCCTGGGAAATCCCATTGACTGAGGAGCCTGGTGCGGCCACAAAAGTGTTGGATATGACTCAGTGACTAAACAACAACAACAAATATATATATATATGTATATATATGTATGTGTGTGTATATATATATATATATATATATATATGAAATGGAGATGAAAAATCTTTTCAGGTTCAAGGGTTGGGAGTAGAGAAAGGAAAAATCATAATGATAATCAACACCAGTTAGGACTTGTATGGCTACAAGAAACAGAAAACCTACAAAACTGAGCACTTGATTTCAAGTAACCCAAGTCTGAAAGAGGCAAGGTAGCACTGGTATAAACCAACATGCATGGGGACCCAGTTCCTGTCTGTTAATAGGGAGATTTCTTAGTTAATGCAATAATATCTTTAATGATTTTAATTCCATTCAGATTTTCTATTTCGAGTAAGGTGTTACAAGTTATGCTTTTCTAAGAAATTATCCACTTTGTCTAATTTTTCAAATGTATTAACTATTAGGAGAGTTTTCTCATTTTTTGGAGCGCATCTCTCTAGTTTTTAGCCGTAGAAGTCACTCATCATTTGAATTTTCCTCTCGTGAGGTTTTCCTTTTTAAAAATCATAGGGTAACTCATGAAGACAGATACCATTCTGGTTTGAGATGCTCCATACCTGCCGTTCCCAGATTATCCTCAGACTGCCATACTGTGAAGTTCTCCACTTGGTTTAGAAACTTGGCGGGAGGTAGCATTCCAGTACTGCCCAGCTCACT